TTTACTTTTGGAATTTTTTATATTCACTCATAATAATAATATTATTATGTGAAGGTTGAGATAGAGTACTGCCTTTGCCTTCACCTTTCCTTTTTTATTCTTTGCTCTATTATTCTTATGGTTATTTTCTGTCATTTTCATTTCTCCAATTTTTCTCACATTCTTCCATCAGATTTTTTTCCTATTTTATCAGTAAGGATTGCAAATTTTTTGGTTCGTTTTCGATTAGATGAAGCTCAAAGTAGAGCTTTTAACAGAGGTTTTACAGTTTCAACCAAGAAATCATGAGCATTTTTCTGCAATCAGACATGTTCTCAATAACTTCAGTTACGCTCAGGTTATCTAATTTAGACACATAGTTAAAAATTTCAGGATTTTCCGAATTTTATGACAGATCGTCATCATTACCCTCATTGCTGACAGATGGTTCGAACTCAATTGGCTGATTTTGATTGATGGAATCTGGACAGTCTTCGTTGACCAGATACTAGATAGCCTTTATGTGGTTTCAGTATTAACGACGTACCCAAATGATTACTCATAGTTAATAATAACTCCAAACGAACATTTTCAGTCATTCCTTTTATTTATTTATTAATTTTCATTTTAAATATTATTAACGTATTCGTTCGGTTTTGTTGTAAGTCATTATATTACGCTGACATGAATGAAGCCTTTGGGTCCCCAATTCTCGTCTTCAAATGGAAACTTTGGCTGAAGCAAAAGTATAAAATTGATAACTTGTCTATCGCACTTTCCGACACAAACGGCTTGCAAACTTTTCCATCTGCGAGAAACTATTGACAGTTCCCAAACTTTTATGAAATGGGTATTATTTCTTCCGAGAAATTCTATGTGCTTGAATACACATTTATAACCCCAATCTGAATTAAATAACGACTGACACAGATCGGTATCAAAAAAATATATCACATTATTTCTCTAAAAGGTCACGAACAATTCTGCATTGTGCATTATAAATAGATTCGGTACTTAAGGACGTGTTAAAACTTCAGTGTACGATGTAATCATGTTTTTTAAGGATTTATAAGATTGAAGAGATATAATAATCTATATACATAGATTATTATATGTATACTAGCAGACCCGGCAGCGGATGGTTTCCCAACTCGTGAACACGCAACGTATAACTGCCCATGTGAAAAACAATGATTTTCTAAATTTATCACGCAAACACTAAGCGATTGGCCTTGCGACTTGTTCATTATCATTGCGAACGCAAGGCGACCTGGAAATTGCAATCGTTTGAAGTCAAACGGAAGATCAGTCGGAATCATTGGTATTCGAGGAATACATACATTTTCACTTGCGTACTTTCCGTTAATAATGGTTGCCTCAATCAAATTCGGCATGTCTTTTAACCGAAAGTCGAGTACCGTTGCAAAGTCGCGGTGGATTCAAATTACGCAATATCATAATAACTGTACCATCTTTGAGTTGCAAGTTATGTGCTGGAAATCCTGGTAACTCCAGAGAGTTCAAAAACTCCGTTGGATAATTTACTACATCATCGGGATTTGTTATGGAATCAACGGATTTGTATGTCACCAAATCGCCTGCAATTTTTGATTGAATGGTGAAATTCAGTGCGTTTCGGAGGAGTATGGAAACGAAAACTGTGACACGAGAATTTTATATATAAGATATATATATATATATATATATATATATATATATATATATATATATATATATATATATATATATATATATATATGCATACGACGTTGCAGTGAATTTCTCACATGCCTTCTGATTCATACGAGGGTGGGGTGAAAAGTTTCCGGCCTAACCAAGAAAAACGATGTTTTAAAAAAAATTGCTTTATTTTTCGATATAATCTCCATCAACACTCATACATTTCACATAACGGTGTTCTAATTTAGTTTTTGAACGTAGATTCGAAGAGCTCCTCAAATTAATGATTTATAGTTTCGATAACTTCTTCATTGCTTTCAAAAGTCATTTTTTGACGTTAGGAAACAGGTAATAGTCGCTGGGGACTAAGTCTGAAGAGTAGGAGGACTCGGCATCAATTCGAACTCCAATTCGTGGATTTGGACATGACAACAATCGACGAATGTCCTGGTGCGTTAACGTGATGAAACAAAAATTTTTTCTTCGCCAAATAAGGTCGTTTAATTTGCACCTCGTCATTCAAACGTTGCAATAAGTCTGCGTAGTATTGACCAGTGATAGTCTTACCCTTTTCAAGATAATCAATGTATATAATTCCTCTCGCATCCCAAAAAACAGTAGCCATAACCTTGTTTGTCGATTAAACTATTTTTGCCGAGTTGTTTCGCCCTTTCCAACCCACTGTTTTGACAGTTCTTTATTTTCAGGAGTGTGATCATCAACAATTATGAATCGACGCAAAAATTCGTTGCGGTTACGCCTATACAGCGCCAAATTTTCGGTAGAAATTTTTATCGAATCAGTTTTTGGTCGAGCGTCAGCAAACGCGGCACCCATCATGCATACAGCGTTTCCATGCTCAAATGGTTGTGCAGAATATTTCGCTCGCGTCCTGCTGACATCCTACAGGTCTCAACTATCTCATGCACTTTCATTCTACGGTCTTCCAATACTATTTGATGGATTTTCTCAATCATTCCTGGAGTTGTGACCTCAACGACCCGTCCTGAGCGAGGTTCGTCTGAGGTGCTCACACGACCCATTTTGAATTCAGAAACCCACTGCTTAGTAGTTGAATATGGTGGGGAGAAGTCTCCTAGTGTTGAATCCATCTCTTCTTCTATTTGTTTTGGTGTAAAACCTTTCAAATAGAAGTATTTGATGATAACACGTTTCTCCAATTTTCCATTTTCACGAAAACAATGGAAGCGACTCGAAATGTGCTCTCAAACACAAACTAAGGTAGCGATTGGGCTGAAACTTTACATACAAGGTCAGTAGGGATGATACTGTGGGACGCCGCTGCAAACGTAGAACTAGTGGCGCCATCTCTGGGTCAGGCCAGAAACCTTTCACCCCCCCTAGTATGAGGATATTTGAAAATTGTAGTCGATGCCTTTCTTTTGTTGGACGAAACGGTAACTGTCTCGCACTTCCAACAAATTTAGGCACCGATTTCAATATTCTCTAACAATTATCCCTTGAAGTAAAGTATATAATGCAAGTTTAGAGGAAGAAATAAAGTTTATAATGAAAGCATAACATTATATATGTCTCATATAGCCAGCTCCGCTTTAATATTGAATAATTCGTGAAAAATTATCGAAAGAAAGTTATAGTATACTTTCTATATTGTGTATTCAATATATAAACACCTCTACCTATATATAAAAAATATGAATCAATTACGAAATCAAAATGTGTGATTGACTCGTTTAAACTCTTAAACATATAAAATATTTCAATTTTTTTAATCTGTTGAAGCTATAGCGTTATAACATTTGTTCCAAAACGCAAATTCAAATTCATTTCTTAATAAATCAACTATCAATTTTTTATTTCTTTAATTTACTCATACTCAAAATATACGACATTATGATTATCTTTTGTTTTCCTAGAAGTATATTGCATACTCAATAATACAATGTCGCAGAATTAATTTTTCAACAGATATTTTTTATATTGGTATTGAAAAGTAAAAATGTTCAATATATGGGATAAAAAATTTTTGCTAAGTTTCACATAATTATATCAATTACTGACAATTCTTGGTGTTATTCCATTTATTAAAGCTAACTGAACACTTGTCATCTGAACTTTTCTATTCGATATATTAAACAACTTTGCACCAAGAGATTTGTGTATTCCTTCCGAAAATACAAAAAAAAAATTCATTTTCTCTCGAAGTACGAGTAGCTCAGGCGGCATGTGTATTTTCAAGAGCAATGTTATTAATTGCTCTGTACTTCGAATTCAGAGCAGAAATCTCGATATAACAGACAGTACTTTACCATATAAATGTATTTTTTCACTATCAAATAGTATAGATTTCAACGAACAAAAAACCCACGGAATCTTTCAAAAATCAAATATTTTTATGTGAGAATTTTCGATTGAAAATGAAGGTGCTTTATCAATATGAAGTCAAAATAAGGTGAAAATATTAGTATTTTGAATTTAGAAAATTCAAGTGTTTTTGAGGAATATAAAAAGCCAAGTTTTCACCGAAAGAAATTTTTTTTCAAGATAAAAATAAGAAACCAATGAATATGAATTCATGAAGTCTGTTGAATAGTTAAACTAGTTGAAATAGTTCAGAATCCCTGTAATTCTATAAATTATAATATCAACATTATTGAAAAATATGTCATTAAGTCTAGAATACTAAAGTCAATTATCAATGTGAATTTTCGTTTTGATCTCGATTATTTTCCACGATGAAAAAATTCAACTGTGTTTTTGCCATATTCAGGAAAGAACGAATAATCAAGGGGAATTTATATGCTTCCTGCATTGCATCCGCTTAAACGTGTGAAAACGTCGAGTAACAACATCCAGCGTCGCTGGAATGCAAATAAACGAAACCTCAATTGTTTTCGTCGCTCTACCATACGAATATTTGTGTTTGAAACGTTGGGGGATAAAAGTCTGGTAATTACGTCGCTTTCCTAGGAAACTAACCCCGGTAAATATTTCCAGTTCGTCGTCAGAAGGTGCAAATTTCTACCTCGAATAACGTTCGATCGATGAATACTTCTTTCTATATAATCAAAAGTGTTTCCTGGTCCTCAATATATCTCATCTTATAGTGATTTTAGCTTTGACATTATAATGTTTTTAGTAATAACACGCTATTTTCAATGTTAAAAACTTTATTTTCGTTGACGTTTCGTTGTATATAACAACTTTGCCAAAACTAGTGAATTTGAATTTTTTTTTCAAATTCAGTGGACCTACAGTTCAACGCCGGTTCCGAACGGCCATTGGGCTTGTAATCGATGTACATTACCCAGCATATATCATTAATTAAACTACTTAAATCATAGACAAACACAAACACCCATGCCTTCAGCGGGACTCGAATCCGGGTTCCACCGCACCATAGTCGGGTGTTCTACCGACTAAGCTACAGACACCGGCTTAATTGAATTTTATGAATAAGGATAGATATCAAAACGTCAAACTTATTTTTTTGAAAAAAATCAAATTGGCTTTTTTGTATTTTTTCATATTCATTTTTAGTATTTAGATAAATATTTCTGGCTTAGCATTCGCTTCCGAAGTTTTAGTCTTGTTCACCATGAGGAAACCTCTGGAAAACTCATGGTAAGCCGGGTGATTCTAATGAGTGTGATTTATATATAGATACTTATATACATACATATAATATTTTGAAAGTTTTTAGCAATAACAGGATTTTTTTGATATGGAAAAGTTTATTTTTGTTGACGTTTCGTTGTTATATTACAACTTTGTCAAAACTAATGAATAATTGAATTTTAAATTCAATCACTGTCTCCCCAATATTAGAGATAGCCTTTGCCCTCACCACCATTTCATAGGGGAGTATACTTTATACAGTCAACTCAAATAGTAGGGCGTCTCTCAACCAAAAAATTGGAAGCATCCCTTACAACACAACTTTCGAAAAACTCAATGCTTATCAATACTTTGATTTCAACTCAATATCAAAAATGTTTGAAGATATTGCATATTCCGTATATTAACAAAAGTTAATGACAATAATATTTTATTATTCATTCAAGTCATTACATATTTGTATATGGCAATCAAATAATGAAAAATATATCAAGTATCATATATTCCTATATAGTTTATGTTAACGCAATCGATACAATTCAAATCTACTTTCCTTTTCAAATATTCAGTGATTCATAACAATATTCAATGTTTCAAAATCACTGAGTTAGTCCCTTCTCTTGGGATTGTTTAACTTCTCTATTGAGTAAGTAAAAGACTGATCAAGTACAACAAATTCCACAGAAAAATCGAATACAAAAACTATTAGAACTGCTAGAAATTTTGTTAACTCTTTCATGAGGTGGTCAATGGTGATGGCCCACTGCTTGAACAGGTGATGAAAACTTGAGATATCGAGAATTTAAATGCAGACAAGAACGATTAAAAAGACAAAAAATTCATTTCTGCAATATATAAGTGCTTCACAACTTGACATTTATTCGATTTTCTTTTTTGATACCTACCTGTATGCTCTTCACGTGAATTTTCCATTACCTAATGATTTTCTCTAAAACAACATTGAAAACGATTGGCGAAAGTCCGTCCCCCTGGCGCAAACCGGTTTTGATTTCAAAGGAATCTGATACTTCGTCCATGAATTTTAGTTTGGAAGTTGTACCTGTAATTGTCTGTTTTAATTTTTCGGGTCTTTCATCGATCCCAAATTCTTTCATGATTTCGAAAAGGGTTTCGCGGTTTACTGAATCATATGCTTTCTTAAAGTCAATGAATGTGATCTATTTCTATATTTCCTCATTTGTGATATCTTCTTTAAAGTCCAGATGTGTTCAGCACATGATCGACCTTTTCTGAATCCCGCCTGGTATTCTCTAATTAGTGGATCCGCTTGGTCTTCTACTCTGTGTAAAAATGCTGAAAATTATATATGTATATATGGTAATGATAATCAACGTGTGTTGTTTTCAGAATTTCCACTGCAACAATACATTTTCTAAATGAAAACTTATAAGTTATGAAACGAATTCTGAGAAATTCTGTATAATGAATAAATAATGTTCCTACTCCTATATGACTTATTTTATTTTTTGACAAATCGTTATTTCTGGGACAGAAGCTATGAATAAATCAATGGCCTCGCTGAATTTTAAGCATACCGTAATGGAATATTTTAGCAACTGCAGCCGAACAAAAGTTCGCACATGAGTGCAAGATGTCTCGGGAATTTACATTTCAAACAGGAAATCTACCCTTTCAATTCACGCAATGTCATAAATAATTTATGTACAAAAGTTCCTAACATATTGAAGGGACGTGGAATAACAGTATATACGGCTCAAACAAGGTTGATATTAGGAAAGAAAAATCCGAAAGGAAACCATAGACAGCGGAGAAAATCTCGTGATGAATCTCAAACCTCTAATAAAAGAATTTTGAAAAAGGTCAGAAGTGACAATCAGTCCTCAGGAACTACGAAGAAGTGGGTTACTCAATAATCCACCTACGAAGGACCTGCATAAACTTTGACAGAAATAGAGAGAAGCAGATGGGATGTAATACAGCACTGGGAGGTACAAAAAGGCAAGGAGAAATTACATAAAAAGTGCTCGTCGATACACCAAAATAAAAAGTGGTTATTTAGTTTTCTGGTTGGAGATAAAGAAACGATCTATGGTATTTTAAATTTTATTGAAATGGTTTTTCCTTTTCATTATCAATTTCCAGAAGTACAATGACTTATTGAATTACAAATTGAATAATGAATAATTTCACCTTTGTTGAATCTTGTAGTTCATAATGTCACCCTTGTTATCTAGTAGTTCAGTTGTATCTCATTGGTACGAATATTTTCTATGGCCGCTATGTATGATTAACGTATATACCAGAATGATCTTTATGTTCACCGAACCTTAATGCTACTTTTTTTTTTGTTAAGCTTATATCGTTGAAAAAGTGATTTGATAAGTGATCAGGTTTGTTATATATGAAATAAAATGAAGATAGGTTTATTAAATTGAATAGTAATCATGAGTATTCAACAAGGAACAGGGATGTATTACTCATTCCTATGCATAAAACAGGTAAATTTGAGCACTCTCTCTATTATCAGAGTATTGAAATTTTCAACCATCGAATTTGAAAGTACTGAAAGCTCATTTGTTTGAATCTAGTTAAATCTCTGCTCATAACAAAGGCATACTATAGTGTGCCAGAGTATTGATGTTCGAATGAGGCAATAATGTATGAATCAATTTTTTGTATCATATGTTTTCATATTTTTTTTAACACAAATGTTCTTCACCATGTGAAATTGTCTCAAATGTTTAATATTTCTGAGGTAATTTTTTTCTTTTCTTTTCAAATAAAGTTGTATATTATTGTAAATATAAATTTAACCAATATTTTTGTTTGAACCAATATTTTTGCTCGAGGGCAGAATGGGAGATGAGACTCAAAACAACTGAATTCAGTCCTTTTGGGAGCATTCTTCCTAGTTGTAATTATTGTATCAATTGAAATGAATGTAATTCTTAAATGTAAAGAATGTTGAAATGTTTCTCATAAATTTATTTTATTCATTTAAAAAAATATATATAAAAACTAGTGTTAAAAAACACAAATATTTCAACGCAAGAACATCACTAGCGTTATCGATCAAAGAATTAATATTTATTATCCCACAGATTTGAGTATGACCCAATTGTTTTAGTTATTAAGCGCAAATCAATCGACCTCGTGATAGTTTAGAGATTATTGCCGCTCCACAATACGTAATCGTAAACGAGCAAATCGATTTTCAATTATCGACATTGCTACTTACAGCTATAGAATAACGACGAACGAGAGTTGACTTCTTCTGCTGAACAGTACAAGATAGTGGGTACTTAGTTTAGTTTTCTCTCAAATTTTAGAATGAATTCATATGTCGAAATATTTTGCATGAATTTATGAATACGATAAATATTGAAACAAAAGTTTTAAATTCTCATTATTAATTCAGTAAGCATTCAAACTATGATTCACCAAGTGATTTGCGTTAGTTCGACGTCAGTTAATGCCGTTGTTTTAATTGATGAACGAAGTAGATCTTGTTTTCCGATTTTTGTAGGACACTGAATCATTGTTCATCCTAATAGCCGTTTTCATTTACCTCGACTAAGAAAATAAAAACCACACACCAACGAAATGCCTCTTGGAATAGATAGAAATCTTTAGGAAGAAGAAACGGATTCTAACATTCAAGGAAATAACATCTTTTAAGCGAAAAAAAATACTCAAAATAATTGCAGTTAACTATTACAATTCATTGTCTTCAAACAAACATGTGAGTAATAATGATAAGTGACATCTCTCATTAATAGACTAGATTCTAAAGTTAGCAATATTTGACAATATTAATATATGACACGGAGGTTTCGCTTATCTCTTAGTGAAACATTATGTTAAAAACAATTAATTAGAAAATAACACACTCGACTCAACTTTCACAATATATTAAAAACTCTGCATATGTTTCGAGTGTTTAACCCATTATCAAGAGTATAAAATATTACTGCAACAGTATGAGACAGTCAAAATGAATGTCAAATTTCTTAGCAACTGTATCGAATGTTAGACTCCATAAACCAAATGGGGCATTGTAATAGCGAAAGGCCTTTGGAGTCTATACTTCAGAATGATTCTGAAATACACGAATTTTGCCTAGGAACACGAAATTTCAAAGCTGACAAATGAGGACAATCAATACTGTCGTGCAGTAATTTGTACAAAAATCTGAGTGATTTGCCTTAAAAGTTGACAACTGCCTAATATGTACAGATAATGCACAAACATAATAGCAAATTAAACAGTGAGTTTTTATCCAACTTCTGGAAATATTAACAACGGTATTTTACACGAACGTGTATGTGATAATACATTGAGGAATAAAAAATAACGAGATGGAAGAGCAACATTCGCATAGAAATCAGTATAAACAGGAGTATCTGTGACTTTAGGAAGCTTCAAAGATCATTTAAAAGGTATTGGAAAAATGCGTCTGAGACGTCAACAATGGTAGAACCAGATTAAATTAAACAGAACAACGTGATGTAGGAATGAATGAAAAAATTGATGCGCTAGTTTAAACGGTAGCAAAATATTATCAAATGTTTTAAAATGACCAAGATTTGTGGAAATGTTCAATTTAAAAGTTGTAAAAAACTTTTGGGTTAGAAGCTCACACTAAGTGAAATAAATGAACTTTGCAGTGAAATTCAACCTGATGTTGTAAGTATAATTACAGTAATTAGTTTAATTTTACTAATGTATACGATGCATCATGCGACGTTTTGAAAAGGGTTCATCTCAGAATGCAACTATTAAAGTAATCAAAACAAGATAATTGTAAATAACTTTCATTGAAGTAGTCAAGTCA